CAGGCTGCATGCTTTCAACATGCAGCACACGCCGAGCAAGCCTTTTCCAGGTCAAATACTCACTTCTGCTGCCGCACCAACAAGAGGCTCTCTCTCACTTCTTCTCGACACACCTGGTGCGGTGGGAGTCGCTTCTGCTCCCAATCACTGCCGCTTTCGGAGAGTGACAGCACGCGCTGTGGTGGCACGTGCCAACCAGCCCGGGAGGCAGCAGAGAGTGCTGGGGACCCACGTCAGGACAGTATGACCTATCCCTGGGGCACCCCTCAACACCAACCACCTGCCACCCGGTGCGTGGGAGTACTGCTGGATTTTCTAATTTTTTTTTTCTAATTTTTTTCAAGAGAAGTCAAAAGTATAGTTTTTTTTTTTTAACTGAAATGTCTCATATAGGAGTTGGATATTAATTTAAAAAAATTTAAAGCACCGTGGGAGGCTGTTCCTGCAAATTTCCTGAGCTGGGATATTTGGCTAAAAACAGTTTAGAAAGCTCATTAAAATATAAAAACCACCAAGAGGACCCACCTACTGCTACCAAATAAAATACATTTGTGGGATGGTCAGCTGTGTCCAATTTAGGGACAGGGTCCATGAGAATCACCTGGAGGTCCCGCCATAAAACATGGGCTCCCGGGCCTCGTCCACGGAGATTTGGAGTCAGTAGGTCCTGGACTGGAGCCCGAGAACTTCGACTCTCAACCATCTCTGCAAGTGACCCTGCTGCTCGTGGTTGATAAAGGACACTCAGACTCACTGCCCTAAATCAGTGTGCAGCTCTGGCAGCTCTCACGAGCCTCTGCGCCTCAGTTTCCCCATCTGTAACGTGAGTGTACGGGTGAATACTCCCCAGAGGGCCATCCACTCCACATGCTCCGACACCCCCATAACCCCAGACCGTCCCAGGAAGATGGCGGCTGGATCCATGCCCGGCCTGCATCCGCCAGATGCCTCTGGAAATTTCTTTCCTGAAACTCCATCCTGCAACTAGCTGAGCATTTTGCTGGCAGCCTCTTGGATTTAGTAACCTCATGCAAAGGGGGAGAAGTCACCTCAAGGCTGGGAAGGAATTGCAGGTGCTGCTACGGGGCTTTGGTGGCTGTCCCGGTGTTTACAAGAGGAGGAAGTTCTGTGCGGGAGCAGAAAACACGGGCCCCTGGCCGGGGAGCAGAGCTAAGCGGATGAGTACAACAGCAAGACCGCCTTCTCTGAGAGCAGCCGACGTGATTTAGAGTTGGACTGGCGTCAGACGTAATGGGTGGAAGTCACTCCAGGTGGAAGTGGTCCAAGGTCAGAGACAACTTCCAAAGGTCGGAGGAGAATGAAGACAGAACGAAGCTCTGCTTTTGGAGCGGCGAGCGGCCCGTCAAACATGACAGAGAAGCGTCTGAAGGGATTGGAGCATCCGAAAGCCTGACTAGACGCATCTGCTCAGTGACACGTAGGAAGCATCTATGATGATGGTTTTCATCCCCCCAATACAGCGGTGACCAAGACAGACGCAGTCCCCGGCCTCACAGAGCTGCCCCCGCGCAGGGAAGACGGATGACGAACAGGCCATCACCCGCCATGCACGAGCTGGAGAGGAACGTGCAGTGAGCCACGGGAGCGCAGACAGAGGGGCTCACCTGTCTGGAAGGAACACCTGAGCTGAGCCCTCAAGGTCTACATGTGGGTGAAACCAGGTGCTAGAACATTCCAGGAAGGATCCCTCCCTGCACCGAGTTTCCCCACGTGCGCACTCGCAGGTTGTGGGGAATGAAGGACAGCCATCGCGTCCTTCAGGAGCACAGAGTGTGTTTCCTTAGCTTCACGTCCAAGAATGGCCAGGCATCCAAATAGCCTTCTTCCCTCCAAAGAGCCTCAAAAGCTTCCCCAGCTTGCACCTAGTGCCCATGAGAAACTTCCCCAGGAGGCACCGTTTGCCAAGAGGGAAGACCCACGTGAGCTGACAGAAACGCAGGAAGGCGGAAAGCAGATGGAGATCAGGTCCAGCAGGAGTGGCCCTGGGCGCAGGAAATGGCGATGGGCGGCCTGGCCAAGGGTGCGCACGGGGCGGCAGCTCAGCCGCTCAGCCGCTTACTCCGTTTTGAAAAGCTCAGACTTCAGCTCTGCTCCTAAAAATGTCCTTTTCTTTTTTTTTTCCCAAAAAATCAGCCAAAACCATGAATCGGGACCAGAAGAGAATTTAGAAATAAGAAATATAAAAATAGTTGACCAGGTGGACAGGGAGCAGGGAACGTCTCTCTTCATTTTAATGTTAGTTTTTATCATAAAAGTAATGGGTTATATGCCTGAGCCCACTATTACCACCAAAAAAAATCCCAGAGAAACAGAGACAAACACGTGGAGGAGGGTGGGATGGATGTATCGGGAACGACCCCACATTTCAGGTCCCCGAATCCTTCACGCCTGACCACCCCTTTCCTCCCATCATTACCGACATTGTTCTCATAGTCCACCCGTTTTTAAAGCTCATGACTTACTGAAGTCTCTTCCTAAACTGTAGCTAGGAAATCACATTTCTGATGAGCTATTTGTGTTCAGATAAAAACACAGCCATTAATGTCTCTAATTGCCCGGCGTCACCTGAAAGCATCCCACACGCTGGGTGTGCTGCAGGGACGTTAATTTGGAAAGCGCTGGGCAGATTTTGCCCGCACTCTCGTTTATCTGGAACCCAGACATGCATGCAGGCTGCGGGGAAACTGCCTGAGCACAGGATACGCGTGGGGGCACGCACCGTGGTCCTCAGATGTCACGCGTGCTTGGCTCCCTGTCCCCAGGAAGCAGACATGCAGACAGAGGGGTGCAGACTGAGAAATGCCCGACCTCCGTCGGTATCTGCAGGAAGCCTCACACCAGCCCCGTCTCCCGGAGCCAAGGGTGATGTAAGGCTTTCCGGCTTCATTTTATATCCGGCCCTACTGTAAGGAAAGGGGCCGTACGATGGTCTGAACGGCTCCAATCAACTCCACACAAGAAGCCGCTATCGGAGGGGCCGTGAAGCCAAACTTGGTGGCTCTGCCTGCTGCCCCACGCTCTTGTCTGTCTCACTCGTTTTGAGGATGAACAAGCTAATACATGTAATGAGATTGGTCCCACGATAGTCAATGGTCAGCAATCGATAATGCTGGGTCCTTACTGTGGTCATCCCCCTCGGTGGTGGTGGTGGGGGAGTGTTGCTCTCCAAGCAGGCAGGCTGGGCTTCTCATTAGGACGGATGCCCTGGCGAGAGGAGCCAAGTCTGCAAACCTTCATGCGGGGCCATCACCGAGGGGGCCTGTCACAGCCGGGCTGCCCCTGCCAGGAGCCCGGTGGCTCCTTCCAGCTCCACAGCAGCCCCCTGAGGAAGGACCGTCACTGACCTGTTTGACAGTCACGGACTCGGGGCGGGGGCAGTTGCCCGAGGTCATGCAGACGGGAAGAGAACTGGGACTGGAGCCCATGCTCTGACCTCACTCCGTGTCCTGCGGGCACCATGATGGCAAGGGCCCAGGAGGGCCTGGCGGCCTGGGGGACAGTGGCCATGACAACGGGGGGCGCTATGCTGTTACCCAGCCAGAGTCAGCAGGGGGAAGGGGTAGTTTCTCAAGAGAAACTGGAAATCCATATATTTACATAGAAGTTCTATTTTTCCACATTGGCAGCTAGTTAACATTGTGTAGCTCCCATACCTGCCAAGCCAAACACGGCCACAGGTGGGAGCCAGCCCAGAGCCCCGAGTCTGTGGTCTCGGAGTTCAGGTAAAACTTCCCAGAGCTCTGACCCCCGCGGTCCGTTTACGGGAGCCCCAACGAGGGCTGGTGGTCCCTGATGCCCCCCCATCATCACAGTTCAAGGGACCCACGCTGCCCACCTCCTGAACGACCTAAGATCCCTCCCAGGAGCCAGAGCAGCAGAGAACCTGTCCCCCAAGAGAAGCCGCTCCCCGTGGTCCCAGGCCCTCCTGCCCTGCGGGCCCTCCTAGTGGCCACAGCTCAGCCCGGGCTGTTTTTCATTTAGAGAAACAAATAAGCTTGATGTGTTTATAGGGCTGTCCGAGCTCCGGAATGGCTCAGACGCTGGGTTTGTAAACCTGGCCATGGTTTTGGACCTCAAAACCATTTCTCAAAATTCTGGGTTCTGCAAAGTCCAAAACATATCCCCCCCACAGACATGTTTTTGCCTTGTTAAGCTTTTGTTTGTTTTTCTTGGAATGAAGTCCATATGTCCCAAAATTGTGCATGACAAGGTCATCACAATGTTGTTTTGAGAAGGCCGTTGGATGTCCGAACGGCCTTCGCTTTCAGACAGGCTTGCGTTAAACTCTTTTTTCCCCAAAAATGAAAATTCTCATTCTGCCTGGGGTAACAGAACTTGAAGGCCTGAAGCTGATTTGGACATCAGACAACTTTTCGGAGAGGTTTGAAATGCGGCCAGATACCCGTTGTCTGGACCTCTGATACTGGAGAGCAGATCACTTTTCACAGGAAGACGGGAAAAGGGCAGAGCCTGCCAACTCCTCTGCTACCTGGATGTGCTTTGTCCAGGGCATGCTTCCCGCCACGGGCCCGCGGCTCCCTGCAGGGGCGGCCCCCCACCGGCCCCCAGGCCCGGGGATAAAAGAAACCAGCCCAGGGCAGGAGTGTCACAGGCTTGCCCTGCCCAGGGCCACCGTAAACATCCCAGAGTCAGAAATAACGTGGCGGGAGCCACACCACCAATTTACTTCCCACAGAGGCCACGGCCCCGTCCAAGTCCTGATGTGACATCACCGTGTCTATTTCTATGGCGGGTTCTTTTTTTTTTTTCCTTACAAGATTAAATAGTTTGCTCTCACATCTCCTCAAGACAGTATTAGCTCTCAGTGTCCAGGACATATCTCGGTTAGAATCCTAGGCACCTGCACCCCCGCCCCTGCCGCCCCTCCCACCCACCACCCTGTGTCCGCAAAGGCTCTGCACAACCACAGGGTTGCATCCCCACCCGCCAGTGCCCAGAGGCGGCAGCGTGTCACTCACCGTCTGGGTCACACTGTGCAGGGCTGCTGATGCAGGAAGCTTTGTACCTCCCGTAGTAGAGAAGGGTGACTCCTTTCTCCTCTTTGAGGTAAATGCCCTTGTTGACCTTCCCTTCCACGATGTCTACGTAAGAAGAGCAACAACATCGGGCATCAGCGATCATCAGACTTATAAACAACTGACACATCAACATACTGTATTATTTATGTTTATAATATGTGTCCTATGTATTAGTATTAATGCTTCATATTTAATATTTAAGTAGTCCTAGTTAAGTTAGAAATCATATAATAAGATGTGACTATTAAATAATAAATTGGTCGTATTAATATTTTGTCATCAGTCACTACTGTATTTGTATGTACCATGCACTATACTGAAACGGCACTCTAATTATTCCATTGGCTGGGAGCTGGGTTCCCAGGTGACAGCCTCCTACTGTCCCGAACTTCAGCTCCATCCACAGGCTTCAGGAGCACCTCCTGCCCATCTTCTAAGTGAAACACTTAGGTACATGTTTGAACTTGAAGACCACCTAAACTCTTTCTCCCTGTGAGCTCTCATTGGAAGCCCCTAATCCTAGATGTGGGAACCTACAATTCTGCAAGAATCCATGTTCAGACTCTGGGAGAAAATCCCGGCAGGGCCTGCTAGCTCCAGGCGGAGTGGCCATGAGCCCCCGTTGGTGCTCGCTGCTCCGTCCACCCTTCCGTCTGGCCCCATTCCCATGGCAAATGTCTCTGATGGTCTGAGTGTGGGGTAAATGGTTTACAGGACTGATAAGTGAAGACTATAAAAACCAAGTGTGATTAAGCATTTATTGTTCGTTGGGGTCAAAGTCGCCCAGATACCTCCTCTGCTGAAAGGGCACCTGCCCACTGCCCTTGAGCTGTCACACAGGGGGAGATGTACGGCAGGGCGCTGAGCTCTTGGGGCCTGACAGCCACCCCAGCGCAGGCTTTCCAATGGCCACCGTCAAGGGGATAACCCACCCAACGGGCCTCCATGTTCTTCCTTACTGTTTTAAACTTTTAGTTTATCTCATTTATTGCTGGGGGTGGGGGGAATCTATATATTACAAAATTAAATGTATTGCAAAATTAACAGTTGCATGATTGAGTTAGGCTGTATAAACCCCTCAACAAGACTGTCTGACTGGAAAAATTAATTTTGGAAGCCAAACACCTCACAGCTAGAATGGCAATCAGGCTAGGCATCGTACTGAAAACCATTGACGGCATGACTCCTGAATTATCTGAACTCACTTTCTACACTGCTCGGGGAGACCTCTCCCTTCCGCTTTGAGCTGTGTGGGAAAAATAGGAAATATACGGGCTCTGAGGTTATTAAGTAAGATATTAATTTAACCCTGACTCTACTGGGTGTTTTGTAAGGCAGCTTCTAATAAAGAAAAAAAAAATCCAGCTACAGAAGACACGCTGATTTTAACGTTCGTAAGAGATCAAATTTTTGGTGAGGTATCTTAAAATCAACTTGAATTTTTCATTCAAAGGGCGTGCTTTTCCTCCCCTAAAGAATATACGCCATTTAAAAATCCAAACAATTTCTATTTTTAGGAAGTATCTCATGTCTCGGTCTGAAAACAAGCAGCTGGTTCGGGAGACCCTGGTCACGTGAAGCTTACATGCATCTTCTAATGCACTGCAGTCACAGCGCTACCTCTAGACCTAGCTGGAAGCAAGTACTCCCCACACCCCGGGTCTTGAGCCATGTTCTTGGGTACAGGCTTATTCGCTAGACAAGACAAAGTGAACTGATACAGAACCGAATCGAACTGGCCTCTAGATTCATTGCAGATCCAAACTCAACCGAACACGGAACGGAAGGATACAAGTGCTCACCTACGGTTGCAGAGAAATTTGAGTAGGCAGAGTCATTGGTACGAACAAAGGTAGAGTTATGGGAAGGAAGCACAGTGAGGTTGTGGGTTCGCAACACTAGGTAGGACGACAAAAGAAAAAGCATAACAAATGAGTGACATGAGCAACGAATGGAACCGGCATATCTCTCAACCTGACGCGCACCGAGAAGTGGTCTTTCACCCAGCAAGCATCTTGGATTTTCTCTCCCGACCTTGCTTCCCGCCCCCTGCCGCCCTCCCATGCACTGGATGCCACTGTGGCCGACGCCCTGGCCCACGAGTCCCAGAGCCAGGGCGTGACAGCTGCTGGCTCTCGCCACAAACGTGGGTTCCAATGTGCCGCGTCCAGTGCCCTCGGATACTTGGTTGAGAGATATGGAACTGAGCTCAGCAGTAAAATGGCCTTAACGAAAGGGTTCGTGGTGGTGATGTCACGACTGATGAGCCGGGGACACAGCATGGAGGTGACGGCACAATATCATGACACGTGGACACAACAACAGAGGATTCAGCAACAAATAACACAGCTGCATGAGCACCAACTGGCTGCCAAAGCCATTCAACTGTCCCCGGCAGCAAACCGTGCCGATGGACCCTACTCTCTCTGTTTCTGGAGAAGCCCGTGATGGAACTGAAACGAGCCAGCCTGGCATCGTCACGTGAAGAACAGATCCAGGGGCTGCGGTGACACCGTCACCATTCACGTGTTCTGGGACACCCGTGAACACACTGAGTTCTCGGGAAGTTAACATGTTGGTCAACAAAATTCAGCCACGACCTAATTGTGTCTTGGTGGTTACATGACTTTACGAGAACTCCCCACAGATACAGGTGTTCAAGACACCCAACATTACTGGTTTGATCACAACAGTGATCTGTGTTGAGGGGTTAGGAGAGGAATATAAATATTTGAACTACTGTTTGAAATAACTACTAAAGTGTTAGTTTCTGTGTCCTGAACAATGAATTATGTTGACAATGCGTTTCCAGTTGGTGGGATGGTCTCTTTTCACAGGCTTTAAAATAAATGCCCCGAGAAGAGAGATGAGATTGTATCGGGGGGGAAGCAGTCCATTTTCACCCGAGCTGGTCATGTAATGACCTCCACAGGGAGCTTACATGCCTGTGGTGCAGACCATTCAGAGAAAACACGGAGCTCCAGGAGGGTCTTCCGTGTGGCCGCCATGCCTCACCATGCACAGGCAGGCAGGAGGGCAAGCTGAGGGCCCCCGGGCTGGTCTTGCACAGGTGGGTCCTTCCACCCTCCTGGAAGTCCCTGCTCCTTGATGGCCCCCACTCTGAGGACACCGGTGGCCCAGAGCCTAGGCAGAATGCTTCTTGGTTGACAATTTTAAGGGAAACGTTTTAGAATCTTAGGTGGCAATTTATGGCAGCGTGTAAAGTCTCCAGGGTAAGGAAAATGCCAGTGTGCTGGTGTGGAAAGCATAGTAGTCAGCAATGTGTGGGTGTTTTATAAAAACTCCACTGCACAGAACCAGAGAGACCCGATGTGAACTTGTGCTGGGACGGTTGCAACCACCTTGCTGCCTATGTCAGCCATGTGACTTAAATCAAGAGCAATAAGGAAATAAAATTAAAATGTAAAAGCATCCCAAGGCACTCGAAACTTGTACTGGGAATAAGTTTCTTTACTGGAATGGGAGAAAGTGCTCAGGGGCATCTGGGGTTTCTCCTTACGGCAAATGTCTAAATTCGGTCAGATAGAGGCTGTATTTTCCGTGGACTTAGGGACCTTGAGAGCATCTTGGGTGATGTTTGGTCTTTTCAAGAGAGCTGCCAGTGACATGTGCAGAAGCCGACTGGTCGGTGGGGGTACCTCTGCTGAGTGAACCGGCGAGCCCACGAACATGCACGGTAGTGCTGGTTGGCACGCCCTTCGGCACTCGGCTCAGATGGCTCCCTGTTTTGGCAGGCGTGCAGATGATGCCAGTTTGGTCTACCTAGAAAATATACATCTAGACTCGTAGGCAGACTGACCCACCATCTGCAGCTTCAAGCTTCAAATAGCTACTTTTGCTTTAAGGTTATTGGGGGGAAGGCACACACGTTAATGATATTATGGACCACAAGTTCAGTCCTTCCATGATAAAAATATATCAAGGTTCTAGTAAATAAAAGACTCTGGGTGAACAGTGACTAGGGGGAAGCTCCCCAACGTGCCCTGATCTCCACTAATCTCCTGGCTTCAAAGTGGACCCTGTCCACGTCCGTGCCCCCCAACAGCCCCCGACCCTGCGTCTCCCGTTCCTGCGGCCTCGGGGTCTCTCACCACCCATGTCTACCTCCAGTTGTGTCCTGAAGCTCATGGATCCCATCCACATTTTCCAGCGGCCAGTAATGGGAAGCGGAAGCCAAGACCTCAAACCCTGGGGGGAAGAAAAGAATAAACATGTTAAATCGCCATCAGGAGGGAAGAGCCGCTCGCCTTCCACACGGTGAGTGGAGGGAGGAGCAACGTCACAGTGACTGTGGGATTCGCTGAGGAGGAATTTGAATAAATTCAACACACGCTCCAGGCATAACGGGGCCACACAAGAAGCGTGTCCTTTCGGGTCAGAAGAAAGGCAAGAACGGCCACTATCCCGTTATTGCTTATACCGTTTTAGACGACATACCTGATACAATTGGGCGAGGGAAAGAGATAAGGTTAAAATGATTTAAAAAGAGGAGGAAACCAGCACCAATATCACTGACCTCATGTAAGGCTCTTGACAAACACCTCCTTGTTTTATCGTAACAATGATCTGTCAGGTAATTATATTGTTTGCCTATTTGTAGAGACGAGAGGCTGATCCTTCCTCAGAAATCACCCCACTGACTGGTTTGAGGGGCAAGGCTCACGCCAAGTCTCCCCAAGACAGCTCCTGGTCTTTCTGCTCTCGCCCCGCTTCCAACATACTAAAAATTAACCACTTCAGGGTTTCCTGTATGACCCTTGCACTTTGAGTTGACAGGATTTTGTGCGGATATGCTGGGCCCTACTCTGCTCGTCCTACTTAATACCCCATGGACGATTTCATGTATTTGCTCCTATCCAGGCTCCGTGGTGGGGTCTGGGGCACAGTCCCGTGGGGCACCGCCTCCCCACGCACTCAGCCCCTTGCCTGGCTCCGATCTGCTCCCTGATCAGCTCTCTGTGATTGGTTCCCAGAAGTGGACATAGTGGTCCAGATGACGACACAACCATCAACCGCCCAAAGGTTCCGCCAGATTGTAGAGAAGTAAAAATTAATAAAGTTGTCTCTGTGTTATTCATCGTAAAAAAATTTCTAAAGAGGAGATAATACGATCATTATTTTCAAATGAGGTATGCCTCACAATGAGAACGAAAGCAGGAAACATCCTTACAAATAAGGAAAGAATTTGGTAAATGAAGCCCTGTTACCCACCAGGAAAGAAGTGAGTAAGGAGGTTTATACAGATGTGACCCGCGAAAGTAAACAGCTTTCCTGTATTCAAACGATAACACGAAAACAGAACTGAGGAAAAGTTCTCTTTTGTAAGTGCAGCCCACAAAGGGAAGACATTTAAGTGCAAAAGAATGAGAACCATACAAAATTCTCACAAAGAAAACAATAAAATAATACCAAGGGATGGACAAGTACCCTGAAATAATGAAGAACTTTGTAACCTGTTTTTGGAAAAGAGAACTCAAAATCATAAAAATGTCAACCAACCCTTGAATTCATATACAAACATGAGGAAATTCATTGCAAACATGCTGAGAGATTTTGTGTGAGAGAAAGCTCATTTCGGAGCTTATCTAGAAAAGAAACAAGCAAGAATAACCCACAAACCTGCACAGGGAGAGCAGGGGGGGTGGGGGAGCTGGACCTCACACACAGTGAGCCTTGTCACGAGGTCACCACTACAAAGAGGATCTGGCGCTGCGTACGAATAGACCGTTCGGTGGAAAAGACCTGTAAATATCGCCATGCACATGTGAAACTAGCTTATGATAAAAGTGGTCTTTAAGGGCCACCTGGGGGGCTCAGTCATTGAGCCTCTGCCTTCAGCTCAGGTCATGATCCCGGGATCCTGGTATCGAGACCCATGTCGGGCTTCTCCCTCTCCCACTCCCCCTGCTTGTGCTTGCTCTCTCTCTCTCAAATGAATAAAATCTTTAAAAAAATTAAATTAAAAAATCTTAAATGTAATAAAAATAAAACATAAAAGCTTCTGAGGAAAGCAGGTGATACATCTATGTGAATTTTAAAAAATATTTCCATACATAAAAATAAATCAAGCTAAATTGAATCGGGGAGTGATGTTTATGTAATACATGGGACAGAAATGTACTGATTTCTTTTTAAAGAAATGTATTAAATTTATTGTATTCATTAAAACTCCCACTATTAAAAGTTAAACCAACAGAACATTGGGGCAAAGGACATCAACAGGCAGTTCAAAGAAAAAGGAATGAAAATTATTTTTAAATATATGACAAGACGTTCAACATTGCTCATAATTTTTAGAGGCATGCCTAAACTCAGTGAGCCCGCCTGTCCCAGCTCAGCCAGCCGACTGACAGACGTACTAAGTTGGCACGTTCTACCACGTTTTTGGCGGAAGGTGCAGCCTTTCTGGAGGGCAATACCACAATGACGATACAAATTTCAAGTGCACTTTGATCTAGTAATTCAGCTCCTAGAAGTCTGTGCTAGAGATAGACTCACACATGGGATCAGAGAGCTATGCACAGGGGTATTTGTTGCAGGATTTTTTTTTTTTTTATAGTATGGAGAGCAGTGAACAAAGGTAATGCTCATCAGCAGAGAGACCAGGCACTAAGTACGGAGCATCTGCGTAATGCACCAGGATGTAATTAGGACAAGGCTGAAGCACGTGTCCTGATGTGAAATGTTCCTCAAGCTATATTGTCAAAGAATCAAGGTGAGAGAAAAATGTGTTAGTACCAACTATTTGTGGAAAACCCAGCTGTTCAGCAGGCAAGGGGGAAGGGAAGGATGGAAAGGAAGAGAGAGAGGTTTTGCATGGGTAGCCTAGGAACGGACAGCCGTATTTTAGGGGCGAGGAAACTGAGCAGCTGCGTGGAAGACATAAGAAGATTTCTATTCCTTTATATTTCTGTTTTATTCAAATGTTTGGACATGCATTCCTTTAAAAACTTAAGATGTGAGGACACGTGACTTCAGCCGATGTCCACTAGAAGTGGATCTACTCTAGCAATGCAATACAGAGACTCTGAAATGTCAACATCAAAAATACTCATTTCCATTTCTACCATGCTTTCCCCCCCAACAAAATGTAGGCTATTCATTTTGAAGAGGGAAACAGCATTGATTTGTTATTCATCTGGGGCGGGTGGGAGGGCGGGGCAGGGTGGGGTTGGGGGGATCAGAAAAGGGAATGACATCCGTCGGTGCGGAATCGGCTTCACAACCCACATCTTCATCCAATCAACGCTGTGGGTGCTAAATCCTTCCCTATCACCCCCATCACTATCGGCCACCACCCGTTCTGGGCAGAAAGGCTGAGAGTGGAAAGGGATGGTGGTCTTGTTCACACAGGAAGCCCCCCGAGCTAGCAAGAGTCTGTGGGAGACGGGGGTTGGGGTCCACAGACGGCCTGCTATCCCATATCACTGGGCTTCAGACAAGGACAACACCCCACTGCGTCACCCCAGACGCCAAATACGGGCAACACGGATGGTCGGACAGAATGGAGACGCATAGTGGCGGGCTTGCAAACTGAAATGTGCCCGGGGGCCGGGCCCGAATGTTCATGACGGTCTCCCACCTGGGGCAGCAGAACCACAGCAGGTGCCAGAAACGGGAGCCACCGCGGTGGGGCTGAGGGTCTCGGGGTGGGGGCCGCGGCCCTCTGGGAGGTGTGTGTCCTGAGGACCACGCTGCTCCCCGGCCCGTCCCTGCGGCTCTGCAGGGAGGTCTGCTCAGCACCACCATTTCTCCCGCTTTTAGGGAGAAGTCAGAAACCCAGAGTTTTCTTCGAAATCTCCCCAAATCTTCATGTTAGCAATTATGGTGATTATTTTACCTAAAGCATTGCGTGGTGCTAACAAGACATGCCTAAGAACTAAATTCAACACGTAGGTTTCCCTTTACAACCTCAGGCATAAAAAGCCATAGCCCTACAAGTGTCATCAGAATAAGCAAATCTCGTTCTTTTGGGAATAAGGAAGACCATCTGGGGCTATGTTCCCCAAAATAAGGTGACCTGAGATGTCCAGGTTATACAAGCACCTTGGTTTCCACCGGATAAACCCCACAAAGACTACATGTCTGTGTAGGCAAGACAGCAAGCTGATCACGCGGCTCCTTCTGGGACTTCTGGCCCTAACGAATAAAATGACAGAGCAAGAGAGCTATTCAGCTGACACCACCAGTTAGATCGAGCTCTCCAGGAACAATTTCTCATCCCAATGCAACGTGCTGGACTCAGCCTGGTGTGGACAGCTGATGCTCCGAAGGAGTGTTAATGCAGCCCTCCCTTTCTCCTTTTCGGGTTTTCCTCTGATCCCGCACGCTCACCCCTTCTCTGTGACTCATGAGCGGGAACCTCATCCCCTGAAGCTGCAGGAGAGTCCGTCCCGGAGGCCCATGCCTCGTTCAACACAAGCATATGCCACGGAGAAAATCAGTCCCCTCCGGCAATGCTCCTCCCGCGGCGAGCACCAGGGTCCCGACCACGGGAGCCTCAGCCCCAGTGACAGCCCGCGCACCACCACCTCCGCCCTTTCTGCCAATTCCTTCCTTGTTCGCCCACAGCACTTACTAGTACTTAAATACTTTTGTTTGTTAATATATTTGCTGTGTCAGACTCTTTGATCCATCTGTACCACATTCTCACGTCTAACACAGGGCCTGGGTGTGTCTGAATGTCTGTGTACTCCAGATTTTTGCGTTTGGATTCTCCCCAAAATGGTAATCTTAGTGATAAATTTTTTCAAACTATGTAGGCAGGATGGATGATGAAATGTAATCATGGATAAATGGATAAAAAGTATATATACACACACACACACACACATATACACTTCTGAAACTATATACACCCCAAGAATCTCTATTGGTCAAATTTCCATTTGTTCAATAGAGTATAAACATTATTTTTAAAAATCCCATCATGAACACTTTCCTTTGCACTGGGAAGATGAATGAAGTTTCTGGCAGGATCTAGTGGTTCGAACAGCCCCTTGCAGACCATATAACACTGTGGTGGTGACAGATGTTAATTCGCCTTACTGCAGTTATCATTTTGCAATATGTACAAATACTGAAGCATGACATTGTACATCTGAAACTAAAATGTCAATTACGCCTCAATAAAAAAATACATAAATAAAGGGAACTGTTGATTTGCACAGAGAACTAACTAGTCTGCAACCAGAGGGAATTATAATCACCATAACCACCCGCGTTGGCCTCCCAGACCTCTAAACAGGGCCGTGAGCAGAGCTACCCCGACCTCCCGCAGTCGGGCCAGAACTAGCAGCTCCCTGTACCCCAGGCCTGGGAACGGCCGGATAACAAAGTCCTGTAAGGTCCCTTTTCCTCATTAGAGAAGTTATCTAAACGGCATGTGGGTAAACTTTTTAAATGCCCTGCAATTTCTTGGCCAGCGCCGTTTATGGGTTTAGGTCTATCAACCATCGCGCTTCCCAGCATTGTCCTCAGAGCGGAGCAAGGACTCAGCGGCCTGGGGCCAGGGGCCAGGCTTAATGCTGTCACTTCTTCACGGTCACAGAGAAAGAGATGAGAGTGTGGACAGACCAGCCAAGGGCGGCGCCCCCGGGGGCCACCGCGCAGCAGGCTGGCCGACCCCGCGGATTCCGCTCACCCTCGACCTACGGTGCACAGTCAGGCCAAGGCTGGCTGAGCGTGTCCTGCGCGGGGGGCAGTGCTCTTGGTCACAGCAAGATGGGGACGCCTTGCGAGCCCCGGCACGACCTTAAGGGGGCAAGTCTGGAGTGGCCGTGGCAGAAACAGGGGGCCCTGCTGGAGGCTGGCCCCAAGTCCGTGCACACCTCCCGCTCAGCACCTACCACGCTCTCGTGGCCCCCGAGCGCCCTTACGTGTCTGAGCCCACCACCACCTTGGCAAACCCCCTGCTCCTGCCTGCAGGAGGGTGCAGTCTCCGTCAGAGGACGCGCTGGGGACCCCACAGAATGTACGTCCGAGTGGCCACTAGGCTGCTCCGTGATCCTCAGAATTCAGGATGACAATTTACGGAGCCGTTCTCTGAGGGGCGGGGATCTGGGTGGTTTGCAAACGCTCCCCCTTCAGGAACGGGGTCCCTGCACGTCTCTGTGTCCGTGAGCCGGAACCCTTGACAGGCGCTGGGCCGGGCCTTCCCCACCGGGGCTCCTCCCGGGACCCTGTGGCTGGCGCCCCCAGAAGCAGGAGGGAAGGTGGCCTCGTGGGGCGGGTGCCGCGCGGACCATGGGGGGTCGGACTTCCCTGCAGGATGTAGACGTAAGGACCAGAGAGAGATAAGGGGAGACAGACACACACAGAGAGTGAGACACACAGAGAGACAGAGAGAGGGAGAGACAGAGAGACACCAAGCAGAGAAATAGACAGAGAGAGACATACAGCGAGACAGAGACAGAGACAGAGAGGCTGACAGACACAGAGAAAAGGAATGGGGGCGAGGGGAGGGAAGAAAACACAAAGCACTAGGGTTTCGTCCACCAGGGAACACCCACGGTCGTGTCCGGGGCGTGTCTGCCTCTGTCATTGTGGTCGAGGAGGAGAGGTGATGAAGCGTCAACAGTGTGTGGGGGGGAGCAGGAGAGACCCCGAGACACGGAAGTGCGACAGGAAGGGAGCCCGTGGGCGTGGACGTCGGCCAGGAGGCTGAGCAGCTCCAGCTCTCCACGCGGGCTTCTGTGCTCACCGCTGTCCACGCTCGTCCGCCACCGTGCTGTCTGCGGTGCTGCTTACGGAGGAAGCTAAGTCAGCTTCCACCCGAAGTCAGCGGGTAAGAGGAGCAATGCTTCCACGTGGAGCAGAGACTGAATTCGAACTGCTCCTTGCAGCTGAGGGTCAAGGGTTCAGGTGCACACGTGTGGATGCGTGTGCACAGGTGTGTGGGGGGGTAGGTTTGGACATGTGTGCATACATGTGGGTGTGTGTACAAGGGAGTGGGTGTGTGCACGGGTGGGTGTGATGTGTGTGGCTATGTGTACCTGAGTGTGGATGTGTGTGCATGCGTGTGGCCGTGTGTACCTAGTGGGCACGTATGTGGGTGTGCTCACATGTGGATGGCTGTGAATGTAACGTGGCCAGGGTATGATCTGGAAACCACTTCCCAGCTTCCTTTCCCACCCTGGGCAGCAGCGTGTGTCTTGGGGGCTGCCTTACCCCCTGCCTGCCTGCCGACACCTTCCCTCACTCTTGTGCACTGGAAAAGCAGCAAGGAGCCACGGCCGGGCCCCGGCGGGAAGGGGAGAGCCTCGGGGGCAGACACACACATGCTCCTCAGTGTGATGCCTCTGTCCACCCTTTGGGGAAAGAGGAGCGCACAGAAATTCATGGCCTTCACACCTTTTCCAACAGACTTGACTTGGGCGTGTGGGTGAAGAGAAACAGCAACACCCTGCCACGGAAACAGGTAGTCCAGGCGGTGAGCCCTACCTTGCTGGATCACCCGCAAAGGAGACATGTCCGTCCAGCCCCATGACTGAGGTCCCGGGACTCCCAGCAGAGGCTGGCCTTGTCCCTGGGTGGCCCAGGGATGCTGGCTGTGCCCATAGGTTCTGGATGGTGCCCGGGAGGGGGCTGGGCTGCAGGTGACAGTGGCTGGTAGGAGCTCTGAGTCAGAGGCGTGCTCCCCAGTGGGTCAGGGTTTGTTCGCATGGCTCTCGAGTACAGGCTCAGGGACCTCCACGGGTTCCTCACCCCCACACACGGGCAGCCAGGAGGCCCAGGGCACCGCGGCCCCAGGGGGTTCCCGCTGCTCACCAGGCCCCCTCCTTCCACACGCCTGCACCTGCGACGTAGCCACACCACTCAGGGACAGCTTGCAGACGGGGACTCGCCTTGGCCCACGGACAGTGAGCCCCAGGTGGGTCAGGGACAGAGAGGACGGAGCCCTAAGTCAGCATGAAGACACACGGCAGGGGTTGGGACAGCACCTTCCCTTCATCGTAAGGTGGCAGTGACTGAGAGCCCGAGGCCTCCAGGCGGCAGGCGCACCTGGAGCCACCAAGGTGTGACCCTGGGATGAGCGGAGCACCAGGAGACGAAAGGCAGGGCCGGAGGGGCGCAGAGGGTCACGCGGAGGGGCCGCCCTCCACTGGCCGCGGAGATGAGTGGCCGAAGCGCGTGGGGAGCCCCGAGCCAGGCGGGAAGAGCACAGGAGGACGCTCCCTTACCTGGATGGGCCGGTGACCTGGAGAAGGCTCCGCGCACCTGCACACAAAGACCAGAGGGTCAGACACGGCGGGGCAGCCGCTGGCAGAAAGCTCTAGTCCGACCCCAGACAGAGCGGCTCGGAGACGTTACCTGGAAATCCCAAAAGATCAGTAGCAGCCAGGGGTGCCCGCCCCAGAGCAGCCCCCTCATGGCTGCCCGGAGGTCAGGGCGCCACCTGAGCCCTGGTCCTGAGGGTCTGCCGCCCAGCGCGTGCCCTAACTTTCACTTCCCCAGGAAAGGGACATTTTCACAGGTTCCGGAAAGAAAAGATCTGCTTCTCCTTAGTGTGTGGAACGCAGCCGTCCTGAGAGCTCACGGGCGTCTCTCCCTTGTGCTGAGAATGTTCGGGGCCCGGCGTCCCGGGAGGGCAGCCCCCAGCTGTGAACGGCCGCCGTTCACAGAGCCCCGCGGGGCCGTCCACCACCGTCAGGCTGGCCTGGCTCTCAAGAGTCTCGGTCTGTCTCCATCCGGGCTTGGCGATCAGACCCCTCGCTCCTTCCCTGAAGTGGGCACAGCGAGAAGACCCTCAGGGGCGCCCGGTCCTGGCGCTCCTGCCCAGCCCGGCCCGTGTGTGCGCTGACTCAGCCCGACACCCCGCCGGCCCCAGCTCTGGGTGGAGAGGCAATGATGTCAGGCTCTCTCCTCAAACTTTGTTCTGGTCGGCTTCTCTATTTATACCCCTTGCTGCCGCGTCCTTCCTGGGTCCTAACACCGGGCTGTTGAGAACAACTGGCCGACCAGACAGCACGGGCGTCCGCAGAGATCAGATGCTTCCCGCCAGCACCCTCCAGGGCAGAGCGAATGTTCCTAACGAGAAATCAGACAACAAACCATGAACTGTGTTGACAGCTGAGCCTTTTTTGTCCAAAGGAAGAAAGAAGGTGATACACAGATGCCAAAGGAAAATAAACCACACCCACGTGCCCCCAGAGAAGTGCTGACCACATGTTTCTCCTTAACCCTTTCAGAGGCAGGTGAAAGCCATGGGATTATTTACAGGGTCCTCGGTGGAATCACGCCAAACCCCATATCCGCCGGCGTCCAGGATCCTGCTCTCCGGGGGGTAACAGAGTCAAACCCTGAGCCTCAGTTTACTCAAGACTGAATGTTTATCCAATCTACCCCAAGTCCACGCTCACGCGCACACACGCTCACACACACGTGCTCGCACTCACATGTTCACACACGCACGCATGTGCTCAGGCTCACACTCTCGTGCACGTACTCGCACACACACTCACACGCTCAGAGACACTCGCACATGCTCACGCTCACACGTCCATGTTCATGCTCACACAGGCTCACAGGCACTGCTCCACTCACACATGTTCACACTCACTCACACGATCACAGTCAGCGCTGTAGTTTGCTCTGCAGTCTGACCCCCGCTCGCCTCGCTGAGCCGTCTCCAGCATCTGTGAGCTGTGTGCTCTCAGGCAACTTACTGACCCTCCCTGTGCTTCTGACTCCTTGTCTCAGGGATGGAGGCCGCAGTTCCTACCCCGCCGGGTTGTAAGGAGAAATGAGGTGATGCATTCGAGGCCCCAAGGCCGTGCTTGGGGACTATGTAACACTCCATAACGCTCGCCAGGAGAAAATGTCACTCAGTAAATGCCGGCCACAATGCTGACTCTAAAGTAGACAAGAACACCCATGCAATGTTAGCCAAGAGCATCGTCTCCTCCGTCCTGACTTTAAATGGAATAAAGTCCTGAATCCAAGCACTTCCTAAAGAGGATACGAAAATGCCTTCCAGTCTCCATGGGAAAGGGAAAAACCCAAACAGGACGTCAAACGGGAGGTGTCTGTAACACGGGCGGCAGCGCCCTGGCCTCCGAGGGCCGCCAGCCCCGAGCCTTCCCACGTGGCTGCAGAAGGTTCCAGATCACTGCTGGGAGCAGTGCCTCCCTCAGGCACCGGCGAGCCCTGAGCTGCAGTACTTGGGCGTTTAAACAGCGCCTTGACCCGGTTGCCTGGGCTGACCGCCGAGGAAGAGCCACTTACCGCCCATGTCCTCGGGGTCGGCAGGCTGCCTCCACAGGGACGCGGTGGCGCGGGCGCTCCTCCCCGGACTTCGCTGAACACCGCTCAACGGACCTCTCTCTGTGCCAACCTCTCCCGTTTCCACGGCTGAACAAAGCCAGGATGTGCCCCTTTTAATCTCGGAAGTGCCGTCAGATCCGTCAGATCACGGAGGCACCCAGCTCCATGGCAGTAATAAACACTGCAGCTAAAGCCGATCGGGCGGCCTGCCCCCAGGTGTCTACACTCACCAGGGACTGGTGTCGGATCCGAACCCCAGACCACGTGCTTGTGCTAATTCACATCACCTGTCCCACGTCTCCTCCCAGTGTTGAGATGAGCCCACCTTCACCCAAAGCGGCGTTTCCGGGGCCGTGCAGACTTGGAGGTGGCGCAGGCGGGCTCAGGGCCAGGGCCGCAGCACGGTGGGCCCCGGGGAGGCTCGGGCCGTTCCCGGACAGCGTCCTGGCCCCAGGACTCCTGCCCTGACGCCCTCCCTGCTCATTTCCTCCCCGTCACTTCTCCCTGCCTGATGTCTTTACACTTTCAGCCCCCATTCCCCTGCCGTCGGTGTCTCCCCACCGCAGTGCAAGCCCCGTGGGAGCAGGGACGTCCTTCCGCATCCTCAGCCTCGGGAACAGGGCTCAGCACTTTCCCTTGGTTTTGCCGAGCTGCCAGACACCCTGCTGCGCCGTCTAAGTCCAGGGTGTACGCATGCTGGCTTGACTCACATGTAAAATGACCATCTCTCTTCTAGAGACACACACAAAGGGAAGGAAAAACAGTGTTCCTTCCTCGTCCTGAGAATGTTTAGGGTCTGCTCACCACGACGATCCCATAAAGCACATGGTAGTGTCACCACACGGAGCGCGCGTCCCCGGAGCTTCTCTGTCTCACACATGCGGACCGTGTGAGCACCTTCCTCCACTCCTCCTCCGCATCCCATCACCTCTGGTAGCCCCTACACCTGATCCTTGTTCCAGGAGTTTGGGGCTTTGTTCTGAGTCCCCCGTAAGGGAGATCGTACGGCATTTGACTCATTTCACCCCGCATAACGCTTGTCGGCTGAGCAATGTTGCATCGCATCTATACCCCACATCTTCTGGACCCGTTCGCCCACTGATGGACACATACCCCACATCTTCTGGACCCGTTCGCCCACTGATGGACACAGGCTGGCTCTGCGTCTCGGCCATGGTATGTAACACTGTAATGAACATGGGGATGCAGATGTCTTTTTGACACAGAGTTCTTGTTTCCTTGGGATGTATTCCCAGAAATAGAATCGCTGGATCATATAGCCTAGTACTTAATAGGTATTCAATATTAATATTTTCTGAATGAGTGCCTGTGTGTTTGACTTAAAAGAAAAATTTTGTCATACTTTGGTAAAAGTATATCAGGTTTGTATTGACATAGACGTTAATTAAATGTTTTCAATGGGACCTTAACATCCCTGATATGTAGAATCTAAATATACTCGTAGAAACATGGTAGAATGGGTTTGGCAGGGGCCAAAGATGAGTAAGGTCTGAGGACCTACTGTGCGACATGGTGACTATAGTTGATAATAGCATGTGGTGTAATTGAAATTTGCTACAAGAGTAGAACTTAAGTGTTCTCACCAAAAAATACATAAATAAACAAATAAGCAAATAAGCCAGGTGTGAGGTGATGGACAGGTTAATTAATTATTGTGAGAATCCCTTCGTCTATATATGTATCAAACACGTATGTTATCCAATCATCACTTCATATACTTTAAATATAACCATCTTATTTGTTGATTATACCTTAATAAAGCTGAAAAGAGAAGAGAAAGAAACGACCCTAAGTCCTCACCAGGCTCTATATTCAGTAAGTGTTTCCAGGGATGAAGCAGAGCGTGATGTCGGCTGAGGTGGAGACATAACTGGGTGGCTTACGCAGGGACGGCAGGTGCCAAGTGGACACGTGTCCTCGTGCCTGCAGGAGGACAGCCTGGGACCTCACGAAGCGCATGAGAAGCTGCGCAGATGCTTAGGTTGGAAAGTCTGTGCAGACTGCTAGTTCTTAACACTCGTTCTCGTCACCCCCTAACGGCCCCTCCCACAGCCACACTGCCTTCCAGAAACCAGCAGACCTGTGAGAAGCTGCCTGAGCTGCACGTGTCCCATGTGGCTGGACTCGGCCACGTGTTAGGGTGTGCAGGCAGCACACGGGTGCTGTAGAAACTGAGGGGGTTAGAGAGCTGGGGGTGAACTCAGCCAGGATGTGGCCCGCAGGAGTCAGGGAATTCTTCCTCTTAAGGGAATGAAGAACATTCTGGAAAAAGCTATGAAATGGGCTAGCACCTGGATGCAGCATGGGATGCATCACAGCACGGACATACGGTGTTCCTGCTGGTCCAGGTCCTGGCCCCTTCTGTTGACAAAAGCAATTGTCAATTGTGTCTTCTTCTGCAGAACACTTTCTTCACCGCCCACGTGCTCCCATTGGGACTGCGGGTACCTTCACAGCACCTCCATGCCCCGGGCCCTGTGACTGTCTGCGGGTGTGCAGGGGACCTACCTGATACACTGGTGCCTTCCCTGGGACAGATACCCACCTTGGGAGAGAAGGCTCTCCTCCCCCACTGGAGCTGCTAACCCAGAACGACCTTAAATTATGGTTGTTGATACCCATTTTTTTCTCACTACAAAGGAAAGAATTACCAACAGTAGAAAAAACTGGGCAAACTGAAAAATGGGCAAGGGAGAGATTTGACGGCATCAGCTGAGCCCCTGGATCCTGCTACACCTAAAGCCAGTTCACTGACAGGCACCAGTAAATGCACATTTGGGATCAAGAAGCTACGAGCTTGGTTTCTGTCCCTTGCAATTAAGAGTCCTGGCCAATTTGAGAAACCGCAGTAATTTGGCATTCAACCAAATGCGGGTACAAGAGGGAAAGTGGCAGGAGCTGGGGCTGGAGGGAAGAGATTCTCCACCTTGCTGGCCTGGGTCCTGCACGCCTCCCCTTCACCTCCCAGCCTCGCTTGTTGGTCCCACCATGTTCAGACGATCCGCGCCACACTGGCTTCCAGCAGCCTCACTCCCAACAGCGATCCTCCTGTGGCCCGCATGGGCTTCTCCCCCCGACCCCCCGCCAAGCACAGGCCTAAGCACGCAGAAGTGGGGGTGCTTAATGAGCACCGCTGAGCAGGGAGTACAGACCCATCGGATAAACATGGCCCCTTCCTTCCAGTCTAGTGTAGCAGCTCAAGTCACCTTGAACTGACAACCCCACATGCCTGCTTACTCCCCCTATAACGCCTTTGCCCCTGGAATCACACACCCAAGTACACACACACATAAGTCTCTGCCTCAGGCTCTGCTTCCAGAGAACCAGGGATAAGACCATCCACCGGGCATGTTGGTCCCGTGGTTTCAGGCATCAAGAGTCAGTGACA